CGCCCGCAGTGGGCGGCTCCTCCCGGCCGCTCCGCCCCCGCCCCCGCCGCGTGCGGGCAGCCTGGCCGGGGGCAGGGAAAGGCGATCTCGGTGGCACTAGGCGAGGTGCAGGGCGAAGGCGGTCCCGCCGCTACACGCAGCGGCACGGAGCTGAGCGGGTGTTTCTGGTCGAGTATCCATGTCTGAAACGCGCGGAAACGTTACTTCTCGTTAAAGCTGTTCTTCGAGTTGTGTTTCATCCTCTTTTATATTCGTCTCCCTGCGCAGGGAATGACATGAACGCATCGGTAGATTCAAACGCCGGGCCTTTTTTTTTTTTTTTTTTTTAACTAAAAAAGCCATATACAGTCCCGCCCCCCACCACACTATTCTCTGGGGTAAGTAAGGGGTAAAGTACCGTCTGTTTGTTGCTTTAAATGTCATTACTCATTAGCAAACCTCAGTATAAAGCAGCCCCAGCTCCTCGGATTTCAACACGGCTCCTTGGAGAAGGGAGCTAACAGCAACTATTGTTAAAATCTGGTAGCAACACGGAGGAGTCTTTTGCTTGTCTACTGTCTACAGCTCAAGTCGGGGAGAACGCTCAAGTGGCCGCAGAGACTAATGGGAACAATTGTTACCTAATCTAAAGCTGAAGTCAGGTTGCAGCAAGGGAGGTTTAGGTTGGATATTAGGAAAAACTCTCACTGGGCGCGTGGTGGAGCACTGAAACAAGTTACTCACAGTGAGGTGGTGGAGTCTCCATCCTTGGAGGTTTTTAAGGCTGGACAAAGCCCTGGCTGGGATCATGGGCAACTACTACCCCCCGGAGTCTGGGGGTCCCCCAGCAGCCAATCGCTGTGCCATTGTCACTTCTTGGTGCCAGCTGGCACCAATCTCAGGGGGGCACCAACCAGTGCTTCACTCAGCATCCTCACTCCCCAGCCAGCGAGAGCCAATCTGAAGGGGGCACATGCCCCCTGCTGTGCATTGCCTATGGCTGAGATGATCTATTTGGGGCTGTTCCTGTTTTGAGCAGGGGCTTGAACTAGATGAGCTCCTGAGGTCCCTTACAACCCTAATTTTCTATGGTAAACACAGCTCTTCCAAAATTAGCTTTAATTCAGTGATATCTTGCCAAATGGACAGAGTAAATGGAGTTCAAATCCAATGTAGCAAAACATGACTTCCTTTTTTCCTAATTGAAAAAGCTGTAGATGATTTCTAGTTGCTAAAACACAGCTCACTTAGCTTGCATTGGGGCATTACAATAAATATTAATGGGTGTTGTCAAATTCAGGTGCTCTGTTTGAAACTTGTATCTACTGTTGTTTAAGGTAGCACCTGAAATGGCAGTAATTGAAAGATGAAAGAAAAACATAGCGTCTTTACCTTGGCCACTTGGCATACAATTGATTTATCTGTTTTGTTAATGGCCATTTGCATCATTTTGGTGCCCGGCTTGCAAGAGAAACTTATCTGCACACTCTCGTCCAAGCTCCGACTGAAGACTACCGACCAGTAATATGAACAGAAAAAACAGAGTAAGAGGAATCTGAACACAGGTTTACTGTATACCTTTTTAATCATAATTTTGTCACAAAGGCTTTCAGCCAGTTTTGGAGCAAATTAAGCAAACACATTTGGTAGTTTTAATTTAATACACAAAGTAGAGAGCAGGGGTGTCAAATTCATCCATCCCTGTGGACTAGATGAGGGTCACTAGGCCAGTCTGCAGGCCAGATCAGGACTACATGCTGGAGCCAGTACACAGGGCCAGTGCAGTGTCAGGGCCAGCATGCGCTGTGCACAACCTGTGGGGTGGATGGGCAGTGTCCAATTAGGGCAGCAGCATGGGACACAAGTTGCATATGGTGCCCTACCAGACTTTCCCCGTGTACTGGCACTAGCACAGCCAGGTCCAGACCAGAGCTGTCTGGTGCCCCCAACCTCCCATGCTGCATGCAGCACCTGTGGCATTGGGTCCAGCATATGTGCCAGACAAACTGCACTATTAGTCTGAGATCCACAAGCCAGGTCACAGGGCTCCAATGGGCCGTATGTTTGACACCCCAAGTTTTACATTCCTGTGCAAATGCACTCCTGTGAGGTTTCTGTAATCAGATCAATTATTTAGACCTAGGTTGGCAAAGAGTTTCACAATTTACTTTAAGCATGCTTAAAAATCCAGTACTTGAGCAGTCCCCTTGATTTTAAGGGGATTACTTGTGTGCATAGAATTCAGCACATTCATTTTAAAGGATGGGGGCTTTAAAGGGCATTTTTCTGTCTCTAGCAAGATAATCAGTTGAGATCATCCTGTTGTATCTCTACTTTTTGCCTAAAAACAGTTCTCCCAATTTCCCAGAGAAAGCAGTCTTCTGTCTTTAGGTTCTACAGCCCAATTTTGTCTTCGATTATAGATGGGTCTTAGTAATACTGGATCGTTAGTAGTCTTCCAGCACTGTTACTAATTAGTAACAGTGCTGGAAGACTACTGACAATGCAAAGGAGGATGGGGAAAATGTATTCTAAAGCAGTAGAAAATTTAAAAAGTGTATCAGGTCTTAATAACAAAGAATTAAATTTTACTAGGTATGCTAAAATACATTATACTCTTTAAATGCAGAAGCAAAAAAAGTTGGGCTTTGTTTTGATAATGCGTGTGTACAAGGAGAGGAATTAATTTCTGTGGCAAAAAGCATGGTATGCACAAAGCGAGTTTGGAGGGTTGCTTCCACTGTGCTTTTTAGTTGAGAGAAAAAAAAAATCCTGCACAACAACAATTTATTTCACAACTGAATTTATTAAATAGTGTGGCATTTTACATTTTCTAGAAAAAGTTTTAAACACATCTATACTACTGAATCCATGGGTGTCACATTTATCAAAATTAATGAAATTGTAGTTAAATACATACTAGTACTGACTTAATAACTACCTTGATTTTAGATCATTTCATTCTAATTCTTTACTCTTCAAAAATAAAAATATTAAAACAAGAACTTTGATCATATAACCAGTCCTTCCTCCACACCCAAGTAAATACAATAAAATTAGACTTCCTTCATAAATTAAGTGGTCACATTAATCTATTTATTAATATTAAAAAGCATGGCATCTATTGCCTAGGGTACTTAAAAATGTAATCAAGCTTTAAATTTTAATAAATTGTGCATCCTCTTTGATAGGAAGCAAAACCTGTGTTGTCAGTGAATTCATATTAGTGCCTCTGCCCAATATTTGTTCTGATCAACTCCTAAATGAATCTGATTGATGCATTACAAACATGAACTGTAAGAAGTAGCACCACCTAATATTAATTGTGGCAAAGTGGTGCTCCTCACCTAGCCACAGTGCTAGGTTCCCCACTTTCCTTTGGGCACACCACCCACCTGACTCACCTGCCATGCCTTGTTCTTAATTAAGGTGGGAGGCTACCCATTCATGCCCCGATGCCAGGGGGCGCTATCTGCGGCTCCGTACCTTGCCTACACTGCAGCCCATGCCTCGCAGATGGCATCCACTGATGCTAATCTCACCAGCCCCACACAGGCCCCAGAATAACCCAATCAGGACCCCTCTTTGATCCCTCCATTCAGGTGGCCTATTCCGCCTTCATTCGGGCTGCCTAGCTCCCTGAAATTATTTCTCCTCAGGCGTGGTCCCCCCCCGGGACCTTTGGCTACACAGGCCTGGGCCTCCCCTCCAAGGCCAGTCGGGACCCCAGGCCCTCAGCTCTGGGCATCCCTCACAGTGGGCCCCTGGCCCTTTTGACCTTTCTGGTCTTGGCCCCAGCATTGACCAGATGAGGGTACTCTGCCTCGAGCATCTGAGCCTCTAGCCCCACTCTCTGGGGTCTGCCTTCTGGCCCCTACTGGGTATAAAACTCACCCAGTTGTGGGAGCTGGGGTAACTCACACCATGACTGGTGCTCCAGGGTCTCATGGGGACTCTCACTCCCCCCTCCCCCGAGCAGCATGTCACTGTGCTCTCTCTATATCTATACGTAATTGGGCTCTCAGCCCTCTGGTTTCCACCCCCCCCTTCACTGGGGCTACTCATCTCTACCCCCCTCATTTGGGGCCCACAGGGCTTCCCTCCCTGGTGGGCTCAGGTGGCTGTAGCCATGCCTGGCCCCCTACTACCTCTGATGTTACACAAACCTACCCAAAGATGAGGGCTATGGTTAAGGTGCCCCTACCCACCTTTCACCAGGGTAGTAACTGGCCTGGCATTTCCTGGGGGCTCCTGCACCACTGAGAGCCCCACCAGGCCACCCACTCCTGACAGGGTGCAGTTTTAGGTCATGCCCAGGACCAGGAGCCTCCTAACCATCTCCTACAGCTCCTGCCTTACCTCCAGGATGATCCATGAAGCCTTGCAGCCAGGCAATGTTGCTGCCTCCTCTGCCAGTAGCAAAATGCTCTGCTTATATAGGCAGCCCTGAATCTAAAATGTATGCCACAATCAGGCACCTGCTGGCTGCTTGACTCAGGTCTTAAAGTGGCAGGCACCAACAGTACCCTGCCACACACCTTCCCCCTTAAAATGGTACCCAGGAAAGGTTTCCTCTGATGCTGCTCCAAAGCAGGCTCTTCTCAGAGCCTGTGTGAGCCCTCAAGTGGCAAGCACCCCCAAAGGTGCTCCACCACACACCTCCCTCCTTAGAATGAGATCTGGGGGGCTTCACTTGGCTGCCTTCCCTGCTGGGCTCTGCCCCAGCCTACTGCAGTCCCTGGCACATGGCAAGCACCCCAAAGGTACTCTGCCATCTTAATATTAACTATTTGTGCATGTATAATACTTTATAGCCCTAAAAAATAACAAAAAATTAGGGCCTGTTCCTGTTCCTATTAAAAATGGCAAAACTCCCTTTGAGTTCAGTGGATACCTGAAGTGAGTTATCTTTATTTGCTTCAGAGAAGGTTAATTTGAGATCAGTAAAAATCACACACTTGCCAAGGGTCACCTAGCTAGCAAATTAGTGACAGAGTAAGGAACAGCATTTTTGATTGCTAGTACAGTACTGCCTTAATAATATGAAACTACACCGAAGCATGTTCTATAGTGAGGGTACATGCTTGAGTTTATTGTTTGACATTGTGAGTCTATTTAACGTACATATTGTCTTAATGCTTTTGTGATCTTGCTCCTTCATTTTATGTTTTTTTTAAATATAGAGAATAATTTTGAAAGAAAGGAGAGAAGAAAGTAATTTAAGAAAGAAGGCAGTGTGACATGAAATTTTTTCATCTGTAAGTTTTTTCTGTGTTTTCCCTTCACTGTTCTTTGTGCTAATTCATCTAGCCACCACAGTCCACAGAACTAGACTCTTCCATTGCTTAGGTCTCTCTAGAGTTTAGTTTGTATAAACAAACTATATTGAGATCATTACCTACCTCTCCACTGAGAATGTTGAATAAGCACAACCTCAGTTTTAGAGTATCCGTTTCCTTCCTGCATGCATGACGTATATATACATTTTAAAGGAGGTATGCACGAAACAGCAAAACAGAAAAGTATGTACAACATAGTCTTGAATCAAAACTCAAAGATGTTTTGTGTAACCTGCTAAGCCATGCTCAAATGCAACAGTAGGGAGAATGGTACAAAAAGGGGAAAGAGAAAAGCAGAAGTTTCTTACAAATACCTGTAGTAGATCCCCGACAGCTCCGAGAGAAGGAACTCTTCTTTTTGTTAAAAAGTGGCCTTAGAAGACTGAAGATTTTTTTTTCTAAAGGATAGTGGGGGGTTTTTTTGCTTGTTGTAAAGTTTATAAATACAAATAAACTATTTTAGAAGAAAATGTGGTCGATGTGGGGGGGTTAAGACTTTAGATGCCCATTGCCATTACAGTTGTACAAGTAATATTTAAAAACAAGCTACATATTAATGTCCCATGGTAGACACAAAGAAACAGCACACTGTAAAAAAAAAAATGGAAGTGCCTCTCTAGCAGCAATCCACAATAAATTAAATGCGATTTAAGAAATCTCTGTTTATATATATATTCCCTAAGACATTTGACAGGGCACTTTTCACTTGGAAGAAGGCTTGTTTGGTAGTTCATATCTTTTCAACCCCTTTGCCTGGATTCTGCCTTATCCCTGGTGCTGACACAGAAATGCTGCATTGTGGGAATAATAATTCTACCTTCCAACATGGGATTTCTTTTTGCCCACTTCAGATAACTCCTTAGGCAATATAAAGATCCCCCATGCTGCTTTCAGAAAAGAAATTAATACAATCCAGTGCCCTGGCCAGCTTTGAATACTAAATACACCAAGCTTTTTTCCAAGTTCCTATTGTTGCTGCATTTACTTCACTCACAGCACTGCCAACACTTAATTTGCAATTTAGGGCTTTTGGAAAACCTTGGTAATGAAAGAGCTATTTTAAATAAAAATCTGGTTTGTAGCTGTAACGTAAATGCCTACGTCATAAGAGAGCTACTGGAATTCTGCAAGCCTTCCTTCCCTCCCGCCCACAACATGCATGTGAACTATTCTTACCAAAAAGGTTATCTGGATTCAACGATATGTATTTCTGAATCTCCCAGATGGGTTATTACAGAGCAAAGTAGGGCCTTCTCTCACTGTTCCCTAAGTGCCTCTCTACAGAAGTAAAGCATTGCCCTATTCCTGGAACACTAAGACAAATTTTTCCTCTGTTTTGCTAAGGGATTTTAAAACAGGCAACTAATGTCTTATCAAGTCAATCAGCTTGTGGCAGTAAACATTACCATTTCTACTTTTATTTCATTTGAAACCCCATAGTCCATAGAAAAGCTAAGTCTTTCTATTTTAAAGCCTATTAGCAATGTGACAAAACCTAGACTACATTTTCCTCTAGTAGTTAATTAATACACATTAGTAATTTTACATTACTTCTTACATTTTATAAGAAGGTTTTGTAAACTTTTACAATACAGAATGGCCAATGAATTTATTTCCCAGGTGAAACTGCATGACAATATTATCACATTATCTATATTACACTAAGCCACTTTAAATGAATAAACATTTATTTACAGATTTAGGCTTGAATGTGAACCATTAGTTTATCTTATATAGTTTGAGAGGTAACCTATGCTGGTATGGAAACTATATATGCTTCTTTCTTGTAACAGAAATATAATAATCAGATCCTGTTAGACATTGTACACACAGACACAACCATGTGAACGCATGGCACTAGGCAGATTGCCTACTACTTCCCATTGATTACATTCAGGATCATATTTCTCAATGCTCTGTAGATACGTTCCTTTTGAATAGGAATATCCTCCTGTTACGTAGATGCACCCGTTCATAACAACTGCAGCACATTCCATCCGTCTTTCCATTGTAGGAGCCATCTGCTTCCATTCCTTTTGTTCTGGGTCATAGGAGTCAGTGATTGTCGTTTGTCCACCCACAAGATAGATTTTGTTTTGTAATGCAGCAGAACATAATCCATATTCTTCAGGGAGAAATGGAAAGTAGTTTAATTTAGAAAAAATCATGTGAACCCTTAAACAAGAGTAGCTAGGGAGTGGAACTGCAGCAACATGACAACAGTGGGGTGTTGATCTCAGTTGAAATCATTGGGAATTTCTTCACTGAGTCCAACAGCTTCAGGAAAAATCTTAAGAACTTCTGCTATACTTGGTCTGGAGAAGACTAAAGTCATCAAAAAAGCTACCATATAGATGTGATCTCATATCGTTAGAGAAAGTCTCATAAGAATGTATGTTGCTAAAATGTAGAAAGTAGAGATAGATGGGCACTAACTCTATCCCTGTTAATTTACTGATGTTCCCTATGGTTCATTTTCTTTGCCCGTTTCCAGTCAAGATTACAATGGCCATATGCTGAGGTTTCCACCACTTCTCCAGAAGAACATGTCACAATCCTGTTTCATTGTCAAAACTATTTCCTGATAAGAAACCTAATTTTCTCTCAGTTTCAATCCAGTGCATTATATGAAAGCAGTAGGCTGGACTGGGAGTCAGGGAACAGGGATGTAATTCCCAGCTCAGTCAGTGGCTTGATGGTTAACTTACAGCATGTATAGACTTTTGCTCTCCGAGGAGAAAGTCTTCTGGGAGTGATTTAACCATAGTTGTTCTCAGGTTATTTTTCTCCTGGAGTGGCCATTTTTAGTCTGTGAGGAAAATGCCTGAACATCTGTACACTCACGATTTCTCCTGGGAAACCAGCGACTCTCCTAGGAGAAACTGAATATCTGTACAAGGCCTCAGAGCAAGCACTTCATCTGTTTCTCAGTTTCCACATCCATAAAACAGAAAAACAGACTTTTCTTTGCAAAATACTTCTATTGATGAGAACTGGATAAGAGCTATTATGATTTTTAGTTAGAATGAGACCTAACACCACCCTCTTCCTTACTGGTGTTTATGCTTTTTGCATACTTGTGGTCTTATTGCTGTTCTATTCCAAAGCCAAACCGCCAGCAATACCAGTATTTACTACTCTTATCTCTTCCTTTTTTCCAAGTCATCCTCTTTTTAGTAGTATTGCAATTTATATTTCTGCAGACTCAAATAAGTATCAATTGTATTATATATTATCTCCATCACTAACAGGATTCAAATTAAAATTTTATTTTTGAAACTTAATATGTAGATTCTGGTGCCAAATATGCTCGAGAATTTTTATTTTGCCAGGTAGCAATTCATGTAAAAGACCAGTGCTAAATGCATAAGAGTGGATGAATTTTCTGGGAAACTAGTGTAATATATTAATAATGCTGGGTTTTTGGTTGTAGCCATGTTGGTCTAAGGACATAGGCAGGCAAGGTTCTTTGAGTAGATGTGATATCTTTTATTAGACCAACTGAGTAGTTGGAAAAAAAATTCTCCAACTACTTAGTTGGTCTAATAAAAGATATCACATGTACTCAAAGAACCTTGCCTGCATATATTAATTATGTAATCTTCTGTAGTACTACATTTATAAGAGGGCAATATATTAATAATCTAGTCCTTCTCTAGTAATATATTAATTAGGTATATACTTCTTGAATTTCTGGAACATATTCAGATGCTGTGATGATAATGTCAATATATGAATGGAAAGGAACCTGTTCCTATGAGAAATTAAACCCCTCATTACCCCTCCTCCTGGTCCATTGATTCAATAGGAAAGCTGTAGGTTGATGAATAGAAGGTAAATGTGATGGAGTTCAAGTTCACATTCAGATCAGGTAAGACTAATTATTGAAATAATTTTAATATTTTGTGGAATTTGATTAGATTTAATCACTTGTTTTCCCAAGAATTTGGAGGGCAAGTTATGGTCCTTTCTCTTTTTAGAGAACTACCGGACTCTGTGTGTAAAATATCAAACAAGAAGAACTGAATGACCTTGAGGAATGAAAGAATGCAAATGGAATTTAACTACAAAGTGCAAGGTTATGAGCATGAGGATTGCAAGAATTCCTACTAAAGGGGCCACTTTATCAATTTGAAATTACAGAGGAGTAGGAAGACCTGGGTGTATTGGTTGATCACAGGTCTAATGACATGCAGCCATTAGAAAGACAAATAAGATCTAGCATGTATCAACAAAGATGCAGCAAAGATCTAGGATGTATCAGGTCAAATATTTCCAGTACACACAGGGCAGGATTAATACCGCTGTACAAGGCATCAACGTACAGTTTGGATCATCCATATTCAAGAATGATTCAAAATGAAAGAAGCAGGGAAGGTCTACTAGGATGATCAGGGGAATGAAGAGTCCACGTTTCTGTGCAACTAAAGAGGCTATGAGAGCATTAATTGTTTTTCTTAGCAAAAGAAAAGCTGAGAGGGTATGTAATTGCTCTCTGGAAATACACTAGGGCAGTACGTTCCCAGTGTTTGAAATAACTTGTTGACTGGAGTAATCGCATGGTATGTGACACCCAGGTCCAAGGCCCTGCTCTATGTAAATCAGATGGCCTCTTCAACTTCAGTTTCCCACAGCTGTGCCCTAATTACCCAGGTATTCCAAGATGGGTTTCTCCTGTTGATGCTATTCTCCTTATAGCAGATAATGAAATACTAATGGGAGCAGGAACTTGAACCAATATCTCATACATGCCAAGTGAGTATTCTGACCAGTGGGCCATTGGTTGTTCTCCATTTCAAGTTTTGAAGGCTCAGAGTGAGGGATAGGAACAATTTTTAATTCTCAAAACATTTTGTGGGACAGAAAAGCTGTTTCCCACTATGGTCTAGATTTAAGTACACTCTGGGCATTTATTTTAAAATATTGTTAAAAAATTCTATAAACAAATCTTTGCTAACTGCAAAGATACACACATAAAACTCATATGTTCCCCTCCCACAAATGTTCGCAGAAAACCATTCAAAATAGAATTAAAGAGTGACAGTGGTAATATATTAAGAATGTTTCCTCTGAATTCAGTTCTTACTTTCTTCTCTTATGTATATCACTTTTATACTACACTATTAATAGCTAATCAATTAAATATTTTGTTAATTGTTCACTTTAGAGTAACTTGGAATGGACTACCACTTAAGCTCATTCTTTTTTTTTTTTATAAAAGACCACTCTGAAACAATATGTAATTATTAAAATTTACAAGAAAAAATAACAGAGTTAAATTCCATATTTATTAGTGATATGATTGCACTTACCTGGATGTGGACTTGTGGTCACTATGCTCCATTCGTTGCTACCTGAATTGTAAATCTGAATTTTGTCATAGGTACAGCTTCCCCTGTAACCATAGTGGCCTCCAGTTACATAGATGACTTCATTCAGGACACAGGCCGTGGCATTTCCAACACCTATTTACAATATTAAATTCACAGCACACCTTCAGACTGTAGAATACTTACTGCTACTTCCATTAATAATGCGAGCTTAAAGATACCCGTTAATTTACATTTCAGCATAAAATTATACTTTTGTGTACATAAATAAAAAAGTAACAAAAGCATCAGAGTGGCAAGCCAGCTAGGCTCATTAATACATAGCAATGCAAATTAAAAACATAAAGCATACCTTACATATTGCATAGTATACTAAATAATACGAATCCATCTTTTCAGCCCATACAAAAGGTGTGTGATCTTTATATTCTAGGAATTTTGTTTGGCAAAAAATGTTACCTTAAAATTTCCATGAAATTAAAATCATAATTCTTTTATCAAGAACAAATTTAAAGAGAGCTCAGTACCTCACAGGATTATTTTACTACTGTATTTTTAATTCCAGTAGTGGCATTGTTATGATGTTATTGAATAATCAAGGAAGTAAACAATATGGAGCCCTACAGACTTTACGTTTAGGGGGGAAAACATAAAAGAAAGTGCCATTTGACAAGTTAAAATGGACAATATTAAGAAGGATATAATATATTTTTATGTTTCTAAAAAAGTTATCACATACAAAAATGCATAAAACATCTATATTGAAAGGCAAAACATTGCAATTCCAACATTATACCGCTTTATAAATAAGCAAAAACAGTAATGTTTTTACATGAAATGACATGGATATCAGAGTAATTGACTAAACAATTTGTACTGGTTGTTAACATTATCCATTTTCTAGGTGTTTTTCAGACACTAATTTTAAAACCGGTGTGCAGTAATTTAATTTTGATATTTTATTCGTGGTATTTTTTTATAACAAAGTAATATGTTTTACTCCAGGCTATAGTTAAAATTCAGTGTTTAAACATTAATAAGCAAAATTGTTGTTTGGCAGCCTGAATAATAGATTGGTGCTGCTCATCCTCACAGAAAAGAGGTCATTACAAACTGTAGAGAGGTAGCATATAGAAATACGAACAAGTTACATTAAAAGAATTTTCAAATGAGAGAAGCATGACTAAAATTAATTGGAATGCTTAATACTGAAATATTGCTCAGAAATTGGTAGTCTAATAGACATTTTTCTCAGATAAAGCATAACTGCTGCTTGGATCCAAAATAGTAACCTTCCGTTGGAACTAAAATTAAGACGTGTTTCAGTACAGTATATTCCAGATAAAGATATTAAGACTGTTTTATTAGAATAGTTTCTGCTTTCAAAAAACTAGTTTTTGAGGGTCTGCTCAGCCCCAGAAGGGCAATATCTATAAGCAGCAACCTCAATATTCTTTCTACCTTGCATAGAACTTTTACACAAGGAAGAGGACATTAAAACTGAATGTCCTGCTTATACGTTCATAAAGGACAAAGTCACATTCAATACCAGCACAATATGGCACTAGAGATGGCTGCAGTGAGACACCCCGTGCCCACTCTGCATGGCACTACCTCCCAAACCTGAAGTAATGCTGCCAACTTAGCAGGAATGCCAACAAGCTCTCCTGAGAGGCAGAATGTGGTGTTTTTGCATATGGTCCTCAGCACAGAGTTCATATGTTTATAGTAGTTTGGCTACCAAAAGTTTGCACCAAAGCCCATACCATTAAAGTTAATGGTATGACTTCCAAATGACTTCAGTGGATTTTAGACTGGACCAGAAATGTGGGTGTAGAGATTACAGAAAGGAAATAAACAAGAGCAGCTATTGAGATGTCAAGCATAAAGAAAGATTACCTACCTTTGATCATGTTTGCAATGGGAACCCATGTCTGTTGTAACGGATCATAACATTCTGCTTCTTGTACTGGAGCTCCTTTTCTGTAACCCCCTAGGGCATAGATGCAGCCCCCCAGGGTAACTGCACAGTGATAATATCTGGCATTAAGCATAGGACAGCCTTCTCTCCACTCATCCGTTTCACTGTTATATACCCATACGGTATCAAGAGCTTCTATGTTTTCTGTTCTATAACCACCAGTTACATAAATGTTGGGTCCTAAAGTAGTGACCCCATAGCTCTCCCGCGTGTGATCTGGCATGTCTGTTCCCTGGATCCAAGCATTGGTTAAAGGGTCCCAGACATGTACTTCTGCTAAAGGGTGCCAGTAGTACCCTCCGATCACATACATAACTGCCGTGGGCCTTTTGCAAGCCTCCGTTGGTTTGGGATTCAACGCGTTGTATATGAGCGCCCTTATCTTGTCATCACTGAGCCGGCATTTCTTTTGCAGGCTTAAGGCCGACCTCAGGTACGTTTCATCTAAATCTACTCTGATGCAGCCCAGCAGCTCATAGATGCAGTCGAGTCTTTCTTCTACATCGTGCGCTACCCACCGAACAACGGGCTCGATGGCCGCCTCCGCTTTCCGGACGTTGAGATTGTCCCTGGAGAGAACAAACCGGAGTTTCTCCTCGCTCACGTCCACGAATTCCTCCTGCTTCCACACCTCCTCGAAGTGCGACAGGAGCAGCCTCCGCGCCTCCTTCTCCAGCTCGGGGCAGTGGTGGTGCTGCGCGAAGGCGTGCATCCCCATGCAGTTGGCGACATCCAGGTGCCTGAGCAGGAACCGCTCGCAGGCGGCCTTCACCGCCGCGAACTGGAGGCGGTCGGCGGCCCGCAGGAGGCCTTGCACGTTGCCCGCGGTGATGCGGACCCGGGCCGTGTACGCGTAGTCCAGCAGGGCCTCCAGCGCCGCGCGGCCCAACCCGGGGAGGCTGATCTGCTGCTTGGACTTCTCTTTCATGTCGGCCGTGAACATGGCCTTGAAGTACGTGCTGCAGGCGGCCAAGACCGCCCGGTGGCACGGGAAGAGCGCCCCGCACGCACTCCGCAGAGTCACGTCTGTGAACGAGCCGTCCAGGTAAAACGCGCCGAAGGCCTCCAGCACCCCCGCCGCGTGGGAGGCGTCGCGGAAAGTGTAGGCGTAGCCCTCGTGCCCCGCCACGGCCATGGCGGCGGCGGCGGAGCTGCTCCAGATCCCGCGGCGGCCGAGCGGCTCATGCCCGCGGCCCACGTGGAGCGGCCGGGGGGGGCAGCGCCCCTGCCCTTCTTTGGAAGCGGCCGCAGGCTGCGGCAGCTCCTATTTCTGTGCCTCGGCCGCTCGCCCCCACCCCGAGGCGCGCGGGGCCCGCGGCAGCCGCTCTTGCGCGGG